GTTGGGGCGGGATGGGGCCCCAGTGCGGAGCAGGGATGGAGGCACCTGCCATGACGGCCACGTTGGGGACCTCAGTGCCACCGTCCTGGTGGCCGCTGCTCAGTGTGGAGCACCAGCCCTGGGGAGAGCAGGGACGTGGGGTGCGAATGGGGCTGCACCGAGTGCCACAGCTGCTGCCATCCCATTGGGGACCTGGCCAGAACTTGCAAAATCTCCCATTCGAGCACAAAAATCCACCCGTGTCGCATGGGATGGGGCCATCCCTGTCCCCACCAGCTCCTTGACTGGTACCTGGAGGGGTGGGTGACCAGGGTGGGGGGAGCCGAGCACCTCGTGCACCCAGGGACCTCCTTGCTGGAGCTCCTGCCGCTCCAGGGGCTCCAGCTGGGGTGGCTGAGACCTGCGGCTCTTGTGACAGCGATGAGCTCCACGGCACAGCTCCCAGCCCACCTGCACTGGATTCAGCCGCCTGTTCCCAGCCCCACCACCGCAGCCGTGGGCAGCCTCGGCCAGGGCTGTCCCCACAGGCCTTTCCGGAGCAGATGGCCCCGGCGTGGGGAGGACAGAGGCGGCTCAGCGCGTCCTTTCTTTCATGCAAACACAGCGTGACTCCCCCGGCAGCTCCTGCTCTGGTGGGGAGGTGCCATTGGGGCCAGCGCTGGCCGTACATTTTACCAGGGTTCAGCTAGCTTAGTCTTCGGGGACAGGCGACTCAGGCAGATTAGACCTCACTAAAATAGGCAGGTATTAGTGATCTCAGCAGCCCCCAGCCTTCCGGCGCGGCAGCATTTAAGCCAGTGCCACCGATGAACGGCCGGGAGCCGGGAGCAACTCCCCAGAGAGGCAAGAGGCAGCGGGACACCCTGGCCCCAGCCAAAGGGACGCCCTGTGCTGGCAGGGGGATGCTTGAGGGGGGGTTAAATGCTGCCACCCCTCCCGCTGGTGTTGCTCCCAAAGGATGCCCTGGGGACACACACACACGCTGGGTCCTGCGGGCTCCTGTGCATTGCTGGGGGGGAGGTTGTGCCTGGGGGCTGCTGCAGAAGTTGGGGGCAGATCTGGTGGCCGAACGTAATGGGCTGGGTGTCATTGCGTCCTCCCCCCCCAGCACAGGACAGGGGTTGTGAGGACGAAGGGTATGGCAGGAAGACCAGACTGGTGCCAGCAAACACTGCGTTTATTGAGCCAAACGGTGCGTGAAGCCCCGGGGCTGGTTCCGGAGGGTGACAGAGCATAAGGGACCACCGCCCGCTCTATCCAGGGGCTCACGCCAAGGGGCACGATGGGCAGGGGCTTGGGTCGGAAAACTGGAAGGGCCCCAGGCATCCTGCATCCCAGCACCCACCCGGCGCACCCCGGAAAAGCAACAGGGAATGGTTTTGAGGAGGAAAATCCACCCCCAGTGCATGTATAGAGACCCCCACCCCCAGATAATGGCACCTGTAACACCGGCATCCCATCGGTCCCAGGGGGGCAGTAGGGGTGCAGGGGCTGAGCCCCAGCACTGCCAGTGTCACCCGCCAGCAGGGCGGGCACCAATGCTACATCAGGGTGCACTTCTCCTTCACCTCGTCCACAGTGCCCAGCGCGCGGTCCCGCAGCGCCGGCAGGTCCACCTCCCGCAGCTTTGTCAGGAAGGCAAAGGCCCCAGTGCCATCATCATCCTCCTCCTCTTCATCCTCCTCGCTCTGCACCATGCCCGCCAGCTCCTGCGGCAGCTCCACCACACCGCCGGCCACGTGCAGCTGAGCATCGTCCCGCTCGTCCTGCACACGGGTGGGAGACAGTGTAGGGGATGTGGGCCGATCTGGGCGCCCGCCAGCCATGGGGTGGGGGACGGGGAAGAGCAGGTCCCTCAAGGCCAGCTGGGTGCTGCGGGGGCGTTGGGGATGCTGGGGGGACACCAGGACTGTCCAGTTCCAGATTTGGACGGCTGAACGGACACATGGTGGGATGGGTGGTGCAGACGGAGACAGCAGCCGTTTGCTGCCCTCTTCAGGAATCATCTCCCATCCCGGGGAAGGCATGGCAGCCGCCCACCCTGGGTCTGTCCCAGAGGATGGAGGATCCAGGGGAAGACCCCCCCAGGTCCCACCGAGGGTGGGCTGGTCCTTACCTGGGCCAGGTGGTACTTGTCCCGCAGGTGCATCCGCACAGTGGCCCGTTCTGCCTTCCTCTGCGCAAATGCCTTGTCCCGCTCGATTCTGCAGCAGCGGGTGTCACACTGTCACCCCCCTGCCTCACCAAGCTCCCCACCACAACCCACCCCCAGCATTGCCCGGGCTCCTCGGCAGCAGCGCGCTGGTGCCAGCCCTGGCCAGGACGGGTGTAGAAGGGGATGCAAAGGTCCACAGGAGGGCTGCAATGGGGACCTGGGGTCAGGGGCCACATCCTGCCCCTCCAACCACAGCCCCCAGCAGACGTGCTCAGGGAAGGCATGAAGCACTGGCTCAGCTGCTGGTTGTTGGGCCACCAGGTCCCCACAGCACCTGGACTCAGGGAGGTGGGACCTTAATGCAATCCCATGCTGGCCCCTGGGTCATCCCTCAGCTCCATGGGTGCTGGGTTGGCACCAGCCACCCATGGCTCTGGGGCAGTGACACCTGGGGGTGCCCCTTGTCACCGGTGGTGCACGAAGCCACTGTCCTGGCACCCATGGGGACCTCTCGTGCTGCAGGGAGAGGCGCAGAAGGACACTCACTATGCCCCTGTCCCTTGCCCCAGCTGCCTCCCAGTCCTTATCCCAACCCAGGGAGAGCCCACGGTGGCTGGGGTCCCGGTCCTGGTGCATGGGGGACCTCAATGACCCCCCGGCCCCGGCAAAGCCTTACTTCTCCTCCAGCAGCTGCCGCTGGTACTCCTCAAACTCCTCGCGGGCCATGCCATTGGGCAGCGTGGCTGCCTTGCCATCCTTGGGGGGCGCCTTGGGCGGCTCCTCCTCACGCCCCTGAAAGCTCTTCAGAGCGGTGGTGAAGAAGGTGGCCATGGGTGGGCGGCTGTGGCAGCCTGTGCCCCACGGTGCCAGACGCCACCGGGTCCCTGCCCGGGGCCGGCACCTGCCAGGTCAGCGGGACCGACTGCCCCAGGGGCGCTGCGGAG